AAGCTGTTAATAGGATGTAAAACACAAACCAACCAAACCAAGGGCATCATTGGAACTCATGGTGGATAGCCTGGGAAAGTAATGTGTTAAAAAGCTGCCTTCTTTCATAAAACCTTTGAGATAAACAAATTGTTGACCCAACAAGTAGAATTGTTACATTCTGTACACCTACGTTGGTTTTTCAGTTAGAGGGTATGATGAAATCAGGTGGCTGACTATCTATCCATCCGTAGATAAAAATTTATCAGACTGCTCCTCCTTAAGTACTTCACATATTTTAATGAAATTCTGCCCACGTCTTACACATTACTTAGATATGAATGGGTGACTGCCGTTTTGTTGGATTCCAGTTGAGATATAGAGGCAATACAAATTCCAACAGCTTTTTTCACAGTTTGTTATTTACTTTACTGCAATATTTCACTAAGAACAAGCCATTGGTTGTGTGTAAGTTTTAGTCCATCCCATTTTCACATTTTTCCAGAATACTGGCCCTACATCAGATATATTGAGCCACTCCCCCAATTTTAGAAATCAAATTTGTTGTTGCTGAGATGCATTGTGCACATCAAATTGTCATAAGAAAACTTAATTGAATCTTATACAATTCCCACTTGAAAAGTTCCTCATCATAAGGCTAATAAAAAGATGTTTACTATGACAAAAATAATTATTCATTACAAGTTAAGGAATAAAATGTTTTGTTGAGTTTAAATTTGGTAGTTGTAAACATAGGAATGTGCTCATATTTGTTTTTAAATTAAAGATTGTTGATTTGTGCTTGAGGAACAAATGGTAAGAACTAAGAAAGCTGATGAAACTGAATGGATTGTATAAAAGAGGAGGATTTGTCTGAATGGATTGTATAAAACAGGAGGATTTGTATTACATCACAAAACATCTTGCCACAATAACCAGGGTCATTTGCATTTTGTTCAATTGTTTCACTGTCTTTGTTCAAAATGATTAAAATGTGGTTTTTTGTTCATTCAAATATCAGACATGTAAGTTAAATTGGAAAAAAAAGGATATTTTTCAATGAAATTGACAAATTTATAATTTTCATTTATTGTATAAATATTTGAAAGACTAATTGTTCAAAGGTGTTTATGAATATACATCGCAGGTGAAAAATATTTTATGGAGAGTTGATCTACTGGATCTGTCTGTCCCTTGATCAGTTTGTATAATTAATTTAGTTTATGATAATGACCAATTTCTTCAAAATATCTCTGAGAATGAGATTGGCCTATGCTGTATATCTCAGGAAAAAAAAAGGAAAATTTATCTCCACAGTTTATGCAGTTGACCTTGTTTTGAAAGAATGGCATTTGAAATTTAAGCTTCTTCCTGCGTGATCATGAATAATATGAAAGAATCAAGTTAAAGTTGGCGATTGATAAACCTGTCTAGACTGGTTAAATAGAATGTGTTAAGCTTGCTGAGTATAGTTGTAGGTTGTCCAAGGAAATACGAGGGGTTTGTGGAAGTCCTGCTGACCTGCGAACGTCTTTGCATTAAGTGCATGCATTCAGTTGTTCTGTATAGATTTACTGTCTAAGGATCTCTATTTTGATGACCTGTCTAAGCTGATTTCTTTTTTAGGTCACATGAGCTTTGCTCAAGTGACCTATTCCAATCACTTTCCGTCCATCGTCGTCCGTCGTCCGTCGTGCGTAAACTTTTACATAATCAACTTCTTCTCAAGAACCAGTGGATGAAATTTTTTCAAACTTGGTCAGAATCATCCTTGGTAGATGAGGATACCAAATTGTAAAATTGGGATTCCTACCCCAACCCTGCATGGATGGAAAGATCATCAGGGGCTTTATTTGAATTGTAAATTTCAGGACCATCGAGCTATCCGTTCTCCCTTGGGGAGGGGGTAAAGTTTACTATAGTTTATATAGGGAAACAACACTTTTGGGTATATTTTGACAATTTTCTGTTATAAATTATTTTTACTTGGTGAGAATCATCCTTGGAGGAGGAAGATGGTTTTAAATTGTAAAATTGGAATTCCTACCTCAACCCTAGGGGCCAGGGCGGGGCCCAAAAGGGAAAATTAACCAATATTTCAAAAATCTTCTTCTCCAGACTCAGAGGTATTACAGTCATTTTCTCTGCATGGATGGAAAGATCATCAGGGGCTTTATTTAAATTGTAAATTTCAGGACCCCCAAGCTATCCGTTCTCCCTAGGGGAGGGGGTAAAGTTTACTATAGTTTATATAGGGAAACAACACTTTTGGGTATATTTTGACAATTTTCTGTTGGAAATTATTTTTACTTGGTCAGAATCATCCTTGGAGGAGGAAGATGGTTTTAAATTGTAAAATTGGGATTCCTACCCCAACCCTAGGGGCCAGGGCGGGGCCCAAAAGGGAAAATTAACCAATATTTCAAAAATCTTCTTCTCCAGACTCAGAGGTATTACAGTCATTTTCTCTGCATGGATGGAAAGATCATCAGGGGCTTTATTTAAATTGTAAATTTCAGGACCCCCGAGCTATCCGTTCTCCCTTGGGGAGGGGGTAAAGTTTACTATAGTTTATATAGGGAAACAACACTTTTGGGTATATTTTGACAATTTTCTGTTGGAAATTATTTTTACTTGGTCAGAATCATCCTTGGAGGAGGAAGATGGTTTTAAATTGTAAAATTGGGATTCCTACCCCAACCCTAGGGGCCAGGGCGGGGCCCAAAAGGGAAAATTAACCAATATTTCAAAAATCTTCTTCTCCAGACTCAGAGGTATTACAGTCATTTTCTCTGCATGGATGGAAAGATCATCAGGGGCTTTATTTAAATTGTAAATTTCAGGACCCCCGAGCTATCCGTTCTCCCTTGGGGAGGGGGTAAAGTTTACTATAGTTTATATAGGGAAACAACACTTTTGGGTATATTTTGACAATTTTCTGTTGGAAATTATTTTTACTTGGTCAGAATCATCCTTGGAGGAGGAAGATGGTTTTAAATTGTAAAATTGGGATTCCTACCCCAACCCTAGGGGCCAGGGCGGGGCCCAAAAGGGAAAATTAACCAATATTTCAAAAATCTTCTTCTCCAGACTCAGAGGTATTACAGTCATTTTCTCTGCATGGATGGAAAGATCATCAGGGGCTTTATTTAAATTGTAAATTTCAGGACCCCCGAGCTATCCGTTCTCCCTTGGGGAGGGGGTAAAGTTTACTATAGTTTATATAGGGAAATAACACTTTTGGGTATATATGTTATCCATTTTCAGCAGAAAATTACTCAAACTTAGTCAGAATCATCTTTGGTGAATGAGAGTATTACTTTGGAAAATTGGGATTCCTGCCCCATCCCCAGGGGCTAGGGCCGGGCCCCAAAGGGAACATTTACCAATATTTTCAAATTCTTATCCTTTGATGACATGACAAGTATTGTATTTCACTTAGTTTACATGCTGATTTCCACATCACATCTAAACATTCAAATAAAGCTACCAGTACCTATGATATAACTCAGGTGACCGCTAAGGCCCTTGGGCCTCTTGTTTACTTACCTGACTTAGTTGCCATGCTTAGCATCAGATTTTCTGGATTGATCTGGTATTTAAATGGGGTCCAGGGGCCGTTGAAATGCAAAATTTTGTAGTGTAAATGGGAAATTATAAATAACAAAATATATGACTTGGTCTCCATACTTTCATGACTTGGTCTCCATACTTTCCTGACTTGATCACCATACTTTCCTAACATAGTTGCTGTATCTTCCTGCATTGATCACCAGACTTGTCACCATACTTTCGTTACTTGGTCACCATACTTTACTCACTTGGTAACCAAATTTTCCTGACTTGGTCACCATACTTTCCTGATTTGGTCACCATACTTTCCTGACTTGATCACCATACTTTCCTAACATAGTTGCTGTATCTTCCTGCATTGATCACCAGACTTGTCACTATACTTTACTCACTTGGTAACCAAGTTTTCCTGACTTGGTCATCATACTTTCCTAACTTGGTCTCCATACTTTACTGACTTGGTCTCCATACTATACTGACTAGGTCTCCATATTTTACTGACTTGGTCTCCATACTTTACTGACTAGGGATCCATACTTTCCTGACTTAGTCACCATACTTTCCTGACTTGATCACCATACTTTCCTAACATAGTTGCTGTATCTTCCTGAAAACCTAGTCAGTAAAGTATGGAGACCAAGTAAGTAAAGTATGGAGACCAAGTCAGTAAAGTATGGAGACCTAGTCAGTAAAGTATGGTGACCAAGTCAGTAATGTATGGAGACCTAGTCAGTAAAGTATGGAGACCAAGTGAGTAAAGTATGGTGACCAAGTCAGGAAAGTATGATGACCAAGTCAGGAAAACTTGGTTACCAAGTGAGTAAAGTATAGTGACAAATCTGGTGATCAATGCAGGAAGATACATCAACTATGTTAGGAAAGTATGGTGATCAAGTCAGGAAAGTATGGTGACCAAGTCAGGAAAGTATGGAGACCAAGTCAGTAAAGTATGGATCCCTAGTCAGTAAAGTATAGAGACCAAGTCAGTAAAGTATGGAGACCAAGTCAGTAAAGTATAGAGACCAAGTCAGTAAAGTATGGATACCAAGTCAGTAAAGTATGGATATTGAGTTCTGACCTGATATGTTGAATTCTGACTCGTATATTGAGGTCTGACTTGATAGGTTGAATTCTGATTTAGATATTGAATTTAGACCTAGACATTAAATTCTGGCCTGATTTTGTTGAATTCTGACCTTATGTGTTGTATTCTGACTTGTATATTGAGTTCTGACCTTATATGTTGAAAACTTACTCAGATATTGAGTTCTCACCTGATGTGTTGAATTCTGACTCAGAAATTGAATTCTGACATGATGTGTTGAATTTTGACTTAGTTATTGAAATCTGACCTGATGTGTTGAATTCTGACTTAGATATTGGAATTCTGACCGGATGAAAGTGATTTTAAGTGAGTTTGATAGATAAATGAGAGGCAGACTGTTAGAACAACAAAAGGGCTTTATTTACTCTAATGACTGACAAGATAACAACAATGAGGAGCTGAAACAATGAGGAAACGTAATATATATATATATCTATATAGACAATAAAAATACTCTTATGTACATCCAACTACCACATCGTTTCACTGATCAGGAGAATATTTCGTTCTAGAACACACCCTACATGTGTGATGGATCACTAAGATGATTTGGACGTTTTAAATTCTACAAACTTACGATAAAAGAATCTCTGAAAGGATGGAGTTTAGGCATTTGAATTTTATGTAAATGCACATACGTGAATGTTCTATAGTTTGCTGACATAATCCTGGCAATATATCAGTATGTTATACAGTATTCATTTGTTATTGAGGCACGTAAACATAGAACACAGGTAGATTTGTTTGTATCATCACAGTACACACTTATTGATGAAAATTCATCATAGCTAGTTCACAGCTCATTGGGGTACACAGGTAATGAAGACATCATAGTAGCATATCATTGTACACAGTTATTGATGACATCAGAGTTTTCAGCATATCATAGTACACAGTTAATGATGACATCATAATTCACAGCTCATTACATTACAGTCATTAATGGCATATCATCATAGTCTACAGGCCATCATAAAACACACTTACTGATGATATCATCACTCTTTGGCTCATCAAAACACACAATTATGGATGACAACATAGTCCACAACTTGTCTTACTTGGTACACATTTATTGATGACATCGTCCTAGTCCAAAGGCGACATCACAGTACACATTTATTGATGACATCATCATAGTTCACAGTTCATCACAGTACACATTTACTGATGACTGGCTCTATGATTTATCTCTATGAACAGTTGATGACCAATTAAAATTTGTATCTCATAAACATACACAGTTTGCTGCCATCACCATTTTAAATGTTCCTCATGGTATACTGTTTTAATGACATCACTGTGGTGAACTTGTGGTGCATTCCTCATATAGCACTTCCTCATATAGCACTTATAGTCTGTTTCTCTCACCACAAATGACCACACAGTAGCCTTTTAACAGAAGACAAGGAGGTCTATCCGAAGTGTGGACACCTAAGATCTGGTCCAGTTCAAGCTCATTCAACTCAAACTTGTTCTGGTAACATGTTCCACCTGACTTGCATTAAGACTCAAATGTAACACATGATTATCACATGACCTGCATTTGACTCACTCATTTTCATTGTCCTCATCCTTGTCAGACAGCGGTTCTGGCTTTTCATACAGAGTGGCTGCGATGGAGTTCTTCTTGCTGTCCGACTTCTCCAACCTCAATAGGGCATCGGGAGAAAGTGACGAGACCTTCGTCTGCATGCTCATGCTGTTGGTTTGGCTGCTGTTGTTGCGTGTTATGGAATGTCCGTTTTTGAAATTGACCAATAATAAAAAAGAACCATCCTTGCGATGAAAGTGAAAAATATTTTTGAAGGTCCAGCACATGACACGACGAAATTTGTTGTTAAATGCACAGTAAAGGACAAAGTTAATAGAAAGATTACACCATACAAGCAGGTTGCTGATGTAACCAGTGATGCGATATGCTGCAAGTTGGCGAAATGCAGCTTGTGTATAGCCCTCTCCGAAAAGTGCATATGCGATCGGGAAGTCTGCAAAGGCTGAGGGAATTATGCAAATGATAAATAGAAACACTATGCTTATGAGTGTGATAGTGAGGCGCATCTGTTCACGCTGCCACGCTGCCTCCTTGTTGTTTCGTATCTGCAGTACCTCTCTCTGGATGCTTGCTCGTTTGACTGCCACCACCAAATAGATGTTGGCAGTGCTGAGGATCACCAATGGAATGAAGTTGATGACCAATGCGTAAACCCAGTTAATAGCGTGAAAGGTGTCACTCTTACGGAATACTGTGGAGTCCAGGAATGGTGTACCATTAGCAGTGTAGCTCACTTTAAATACTAGGAATCGAGGAATGTTTAGTGCTAGAATCAAAAGTATAATGCAGACAATTTTAACCTTAGCACTGGTACGGTCACATGTGGCTTTCGCCCACAGAGGATGCCGCACAAAAAGAAACCGCTCAATCGTGAGCAGTACTACAATCCATACGCTGGAGTTGGTACATATATTCACGAAGGGAAGGAATATGTGGGCTTCAAAAAACCGCCAGAAGTACACGCCTTGGTTTTTATGCGAGAAGACCATATAAAGGAATGAGAGGAGGAGGGCACCCAAGTCTGTGAAAGCCAGTCCTGTCAGATATGTGTAGGGCGACTCCTTCAACTGGTGCTGCATCAGCACAATCAAGTTCAGTACATTACACAAGATACCAAAGGCACAGATGCTCGGCCCCAGGTACGTGTAGATCACCTTCGCCCATTTAAGATCTGCAGCGGAAGCAACGATTGCGGTTCCATTGGATAGGTCGGTGATGTTGCTGGCCATGGTCAGGTTAAATATGTCCATCCCTGTGGTGGTGTTGTTGTTGAAGTAAATTGACGCTGCATCATTTGCCATAGTGGTACTGCCATTACTCATTGCCATGGTATCCACAATGTTGGTCATAGTGTATCAAAACTCTCCTCAATGGTGTTTGAATTACATCTCTCCACTTGTCGGCATCATCACAATTTCGTTAATCTGCAAGAAACAAAAGAGATGAAAGTTATAAACACCAAGTTCAATTAAGGCACCTGATTAGGATAGAGAGATAATTGTTGTCGGCATACCTTTGTAATAATTCCATGGGGTACAGGCTGTTTACAGTACAGGGTGTGTGTATAGACTCCTAGTAATGTTAAGTTAGCTGGCACAGACTGATACAGTTACAATGTACTTATGATCTAATGTATTGTTCATTTTTCAGATATACATTTATTGCCCATGTGGTCAGGAAACACAATTCTCTGTTTTCCCAAGATTAAATCATGTTTCACCTGAGGGCAAAGTTACTGCATTGTTTTATCTCATCTATATAAAAGCATGTCTGATTTGCTAATAATGATCACAAGACAGAAATGAACCATCATGTTTCCCTCTAATGAGCTGGAGTTAATTTCCCTTATTCGGAACTTCTCTTGAAAAAAAAGCGAGAGGCACTACACTTGCCGTTCTGAGTTACTGAAGCGGACATCAGCAATGGTGCAGAAGTCTGATCATCTTCACTTTTAAGTTATTGTTCTATTTCCGTAAAGTAAACTGTTTATTGTCCTTGTCATAGAGAAACATGATTCTTTGTTTCCCTACACCAAGGGCATTCAATTATATTGCTACCATACTTTTGATTGGCTTTTATAAATTAAACAAAACAGAATGGAAGATGAAATTCAGGTTTATCAATAAAAACACTTTGCAGCTATAGGCCTTTTGCATAGGAAACCAAACTTTGAAAAGAACAAAGTTAAGACAACTGCTTAAATCATATAATATTTTGTAAAAACTGTTCATAACAGGATCATTCCAAGTATATCAAATATCTATTAAAATCCATGTGAAAACATTAAATGTCAGACTTTGGATAAAAAATGTTAAAAACAATGTCTGCAGTGAAGGATTTGCAGAGTAATTATTATATATACATACAGCATTTCAAGTGGAACTGTAAACTAAGCCATTACTCTACTACAACTTGTCCTTTGGCACTGCTCTACCTATAAATCTAACACCTGTCATCACTAGTAAGCAATAACTAGGCAGAAATATTTCACTCATCCTTGGGAGCAAGCAAAACTAAGACAATAAGGTCTTGTGTGTGGAACGTGTTTTTGACAGGTGTTATCCATCGGTTGTAGATTTATTGAGAGATATGTTATCTCGAGGCTGTAGAATCTGTCAACTTCTCTCTCTTCACAACTTAACCATAGACTATATATAACATTTCATTTTTTGGATGTTGCCTTGTCTGTTATTGTGATATACAGCTGGTGCCACACATATTTACTGGTAATATTAAATTCTCCTGCTATATGTATAGTAAATTTTACAATACCAATCTTTCATCATAGCATTTCAACAACTTCTGAAAAATATTACTGTCTAGACAGTACTCTGTAGAATATTGGATTATTTAGAAAAAAATAGTTTGTAAGAAAACTTTATCCGTTGGATGTCTGATTCTAAGTTTCTTAATTAAGGGGAGATAATCTAGTAGAAAAAAAACAGCCGGAAAATTCTTTATAAAAATATTAGGGGCTGGTAGCCGGTTCAATCACTGTCCATTTGGACAAATTGTGATGAAGTATGTTGGAATAGAGGAGGGGTCTAGAGGAGTCAGGGAGGAAAAATTAAGTTACACTAATAATACATTATAGGAAAGGATGAACGTTAGGAGTACATGTATTAGATAGGGATAGTTTTAGATAAAAGAGAGGTATTATTTACAGTGTAGCTTTCAGTGTCATTTACACCAGTATCCAGATGATTATTCTCAATTAATGATAAATTATAACAGCTTGTATCGATCACTTTTCATTATTGACATTAAGGAATCTCGCCCCACTGCCAAAAACTCAAACTATGCATTCAAAACATTTTTTTTCCCACCTGAATTTAGCTTTGATAAATCTTTCCTGAAATTAAAGGATAGCTTGCGAGACTATTATGAAGAAATAATGGACATGAGAGAAACAAATAATATTNGGGGGGGAGGGGGGGGGGTACTGACTGGGATCAGAACCCTAGACTGGATATAATGTTAGGTACTCTATCTCTAACTGACTGAGCTACCTGGTCAATGGAAGGGCTTAATCTTAACAGAATTCTTAACAACCGTTATATTATTCTGGGTAAATATAAAGTTAAAAAATTCAGATTGTCTTTATTTTGGCAGGAATCAGTGCTCATTGTCCATAATTTGATTATTTTCTTTAAGCCAAACTTGAAAAGGGAGGTAACTCTTGTGTCAGCAAGTACAATGTACAAAGACTAGGTAATGCAATTATTTCTGTAATAGTTGATTTTAGTTCATTTCCTTGGTAATTACTTGGTTAAGATAATTCAATGTTCATCGTGAAATATTAACTGGAATATTGTAACTACAGAGCTTTGTACATAAGAAAAATCCATTATACTTGGATGTTTCTATGTTTTTAAATTATTAACCCTTTGATTATTAATATTAAAATTTGTAACTTCAACTTTATGAAGATTTACCAAAATTTATACATATAACAGTATTATTGCATTAGTTTGTTTTTTAATTGTTTCCCAAATAGATTTCTTTCTAAACATTTACAGGTATTATATATCGCCTAACACAGTTTTGAAGAGTGACTGTTCGGTGTTCTAGATACCATGTACTTGTAACTTCCACACCATATTGTACAACAAAAAAAGAAGAAATACAAGTTAATGATAGATTGCTTATACAAAAAAAATAATGTTTTATTGCTTTTAATAAAAATAATTGTACATTGTATTTTGATGGTAAGTTTAAAAATCAATTTGGTTTCTCCTAGGGGCACTCACACAAATTAATTATGTATGTATATTATTTTGGTTGTTGTTCGTTTATGTTTCAGTAACCATTACCACCTTTTAAATATTCGTTTAATGTTATCAGCTATTTCACTGATTGGTCCTTAATGACCTTTCTATGTTGATAAATCAATTAAAAATTAATTACCTGACATAATAACTGTCTACGCATTTTACTCAACAAGCATCAGCATTTCTCACCTAACTATAAACTCAACACATATTCAAACCAATTCTGAACAATTGCTTTATCATTTAATTCTTCAATTATAAATTTCAGAAAGTTCATTTGGAATCTTTCAATTGGTTTCACATCTTTTTAATATCACATGAATGGTAAAATCAATTTTGTTTCGAGGTTTAATTTTGCCTAAAAGAATGACATTCTCATTTATATAACACTTAACAAAGCAGAGTCTCATTTGTGAAGTAGAATAAAGCGTATTGAGTCTGTCTAATAACTTTTAATAATCGGCTGTTTGACAATTTCAAAATATATCTCCAGCTTCGATGTTTACATTTCTTCTTATGGTAACCGAATCCAACAAAGGCAACAAAGATGTTTGTTTGAAAAAACTGTAATCTTAAAACTATGAACAAGTATACGTCATGATCAATCAGTGCATTTTTTTATGAAAAAACATACAAGGTAATTTTTTCGTTTCTCTTAAGCCCACTTTTTATAATTTTTGTGGTGTAAGTTTTCCCAAGTGTGCGGAATTTTCTTTGCATATATATGTAAGTATTGTTACCCATGTCTGGTCGTGACTTGATATTATATTGGCTCTGTAATATCTGGTCATGACTTGATATTATATTGGCTCGGTAATATCTGGTATTGACTTGATATTAAATTGGCTCTGTAATGTCTGGTCATGACTTGATATTAAATTAATGGCTCTGTAATATCTGGTCTTAAGAATTCCTGTATCACTGCCAAAAAATGTAACAATGCATTCAAAACTGGTTTGTCTGGCATAACTTGAGCTTTTTTAGATCATTTCTGATTTTTTTTAAGAAGAAATGAAGATAAAATAAATAAAATATAATTGGCAACAGTGTCATGAATAAAAAAAAACTTGTGCTGGGCTAGACTGGGATTCGAACCCTTGACTTTAGATTTTAATACTATCACTCTAACAGACTGAACTACCTCATCAACGGAAATGTCCTGGCCAAACTGTGGTACAGAAATATCAAAAACTTTATTAAGGGGAGGTTACTGTATATATTAAGGGGAGGTTACTGTATATATTAAGGGGAGGTTACTGTATATACGAAAAACCACGCAGTAGTGGGACAGGGATCCTTAATCTCGAATTTGGCGTCCTAAACAAGGGGAAATGTCACAGAATCAATTTAGTCACCGCCTTAATTAATATTTGGCGGTTTTAGTAATGTACGTAAGCTTATTATAACATCATGATCGAGAACCAGAAATTCCTCTCTGCTAGTCTAGTGGCAAAATTTTCGGTGGGCGCTGTATGAGAATATCAAAAACATGAAATTTCTACTTCAGATCTGGTCATGTTGCTGAATAAAGTTGAAAGCAATGACCAAATTAGCTCCTCATTTCATTTGTTCATTAGCTGACATATCTGAGGTGGCCAGACTAAATCTCAGGTCAGTTGACAGATATGTGCATGAGCTAAGTAAAATGCTTATTGTATTATGGCCTGTCGTAATGAACTCTTTATCATGATGTGACTTCACATGTTTACAATATAATGTCACTGAGATCTTCGCACATGACACTTTATCTAATTATAACTGCATTTATTAGTACCACAAAACCTGTCTAATCTGACACCTGGATATTCAGTATTCCAATTATTACAACATAGTGTTTTTACCTTTTTCTTACGAAAACTTGAGGAGTATGACACCCTGTATAATAGGAATGATATGTAGTATTCCACAATGTGTCAGATTAGACAGGTTAATCTTACCAACATGTTGTTATCAACAGGAAATCAGATTAGACATGTCTAGACAATAAGGGTAGCCCGCTAGTTTGAGACTAACCAAATCTCCAGCTGGATTAGAGGTTCTAAAAACTGTTAGCCTGGTTGACTAGTCAAAATTTGATGTTACTTAACATGTTGAATAATATTGGGTTAGTGAAATTTGTACTGGACTAGTAAAATTGGAAAATATTAGCCCAACTGACTAGTAGCTCTTAAAATTGATTTCTAGCCCTTTTATGATCTGACCAATATATTGTGGTGCACAGGGTATCAGATTAGACAGGTTATAATCTGACCAATATATTGTGGTGTGTAAGGTGTCAGATTAAACAGGGCATAACCTGACCAATATATTGTGGTCCACAGGGTGTCAGATTAGACAGGTTTCACTGTAATAGTACACACTGACCCGGTGTCTGGTTTGTCCTTGTTTTCATATATATACTGATGTTGAACTCTCTACCAATTCTGTTATACTTTAAGTAAAAGCCCTACCTGCGTAAAACCAGTTTTATCGGCACCTGTTCCTGCTGGGTGAAAAAATTAATAATCTGTAAAGCTATCGTTACTTATAGATGGATCCGTCTCAGCTATAGGTTTGGTTAACACACATTTTTTCCTTAGTTACCAATACGCAGGCTCCCGTGTGCTTGCTGTCTGATGTGTGCTCAAACAATACGTTATCAAACGATAACATAACAGGCTAGCCAGGGGCAGATAACTCAATTTATGTTATTTACAAAAATTCTTTGATCATGTCTTATTTGTCTGGCAGTACCATCAACAGCATAGGAACTCACCAGTGTTCTACACTTCTCCAAACATTAAGATAAGGTTAGAATATATATGCAACAAATATGTTATAAATGCACCGATTACATAAGGAAGTCTTGTATGAACTCTCTCTGGTAGAGGAGATAAAATAGGAAAGTTCAGTGTATTCCAACCTGTTGTGTGTTATTTTCCAAAATCCATAACCAAGGATGTATCTTTGTCCTTATATATGCAGCATTGCACAAGGGCAAGGCACAGACTAACCCCCAACCCCTATATACAAAGTGTCTATATAAGTATATTAGGGGTTAGTCTGAGCCTTGCCCCTGGGCAGCATTGAACATCTTTTGTAACAAAATAACTAAACTGTCTCATATTGATAATTGAAATGTGTTTGAAGAGATATCTCGACTTAAAACTCTCAGAAAAAAAGGCAAATCTTGTCAGTCTACTTTTGAATTTTTGATTTTTGTATATTTTTTGTCACACTTACTCCAACCCAATTTTGAGTTATATATATGATATATATAATAGAACGTATAATGTACTAAACCTGCTGACTGTCGATTTTTGTCCAAGAGACAATATTGTAATTTGTCAAGGAGATGGTGTTTAAATCAACTTTGGGCTTGTTTTAGAGACAACGTTGTAATTCGACATCATATAGTGTCAGATAGACAAAGTTGCATCGGCCTGTTGTCTGAGAGACCGGAGTGACCTAATTTATCATCGGGGCGATTGGTATGTTTCTTCTAATGAATGTTTGATAGAGAATCATCAACACACATCAAGCACAGTTGTTGTTACGTACTTCGCCTTTTATATCTATACTTTGACAATGACTCTTCCTACGCTAATTCCAGCACCTCTTTAATATTACTGGTGATTATTTAGCACATTTGTTTTCTATGTAGCTTTAGTAAAGTGAGTTCTTATACAGAAAATAGGTAACTTTCATCTTAAAAAGAAGGAAAACAACATAAAACGAAGGAGTACAGGGTTTAAGATCATGACCTGTTAGTGTCTGAAGAACTGTAAGTGAGACATACCTGAAAACTTTCAAAACCTGCTCAGTTAGGTGAATGTATTGGAGTATTCCAGGTACAAAATGATTTCAGAGCTCCAAATGATCGTGGACCGACACTTGACAGTTAAATTGAATAAATTGACCTTTATTCTGATTTTAATTCATGGTCCCTTATATTTAGGGAAGATCAACTCTGCATGATGTACATATTTTTCACAGATTTGCTAAAGTGATCCATAACGCAGGACCATTTATTTTATTTGTTTGAAAAATAAAACATACCTTGCAGAACTCTTATGAAAAAAAAAAGCAGTAAATAGCAAAAAATGTTCTGAACATAGAAAATAAACAGCATTGAGGCCAGGACAGGATTCAAATTCTGGTCCTTAGACCTTATACTGTTGTTCTAACAAACTGCACTACCTGGTTAATGGTAGTAGTGGCCCTGGCCCAGTCATGTCACAGTTATATCTAAAATGAATTTAATTTAAGATCCTCGTACCACTGCCAAAAACTGTAGCTAAGTATTGAAAACTGATTCCACCATGACTATAGCCTAGATAAATAACTTCTAAAATAGAAAACCATACGATTTTTATGAAAAATTATCAAGATGATATAAACAAAATATAATCAACAAATGAGTTCTGAGTGTAAAATATTTGGCAGGCGAGACTGGGATCCTAAACCTGGGCTTCAGATTGTTAATTATAGCTATCACTCTAACAGATTCAGCTACCTGGTCAACAGAAGCATATTAGCCAAAATGAGCTACATTTATTTCCAGACAGAATTTAAAGGGAGGTTACTGTATGTAGGAAAAAACGACAGTGCAGTGGGACAGGGATCCTTAAGGGAATATTACTGTATGTACAAAAATCTACGGTGGAATTCTCTAGTGTTTTGTCTGCAATGGGACAGGGATCCTTAAAAAAAAAAAAATCTAAATTATACAGGAGTCAATTTGAAATAAATTCTTATTTTTCCTGCAACAACGTTATCACAATCTTGTACTACTGTATCACATTTCGATTTAGTTTCTGCAAAACTTTTGTCATCTATTTCACATAAAGTCAGGTCTAATATATGGTTCATTTAAGGTTTTGTCTATAAATACATTAGGGAGATAGATAATAGACCAACTATCATTTTAGTTCTATCGCTGAGAACAATAAATACCAATTAATTGGAATTTATCTTATGGCATTTGACTCAGAAACTTTCAAGCAAAATAACTTTATATAGTAATCGGCACATACGTTTGTCATTATTCTTTTTCAAAAAAGAATTCAAATGCAATCTATTTGAATCCATTCAGATATGTGGGCAATTATTTAAAACGAAGTAAGTTTTTTTGTAAGAATGAATACCTTATATGTGGTAACGAAAAATAGATCAAAGTCAGATAATTTATTGGGCCCATTCAGGACTCTGGTTTAAGTGATGTTTATAATGAACATATATATCACTTTAAACACCCATCTACTTACCTTCTGTTGAATTTACACATCCTGACTTAAATATTTCCTCATTTTGTTATCAGCCTGTTAATGTCAGTAATAGTATGTTGCTCGATCCTTGTGTTAGTACTTTACGACACCGTGCAGACAAAGAGAATCAGTCGAGTACTGGGTACAACACAAGCACAATATCACCAGGAAACATGAACACCCGGATAGAGGTATAACATAGAGACTGTTGACGCAGAATTACGCTGTGAGTTTATGAGTAAGACAATCGGGTCATTCTTTCATTTCCACTGATCGTCATTAAAACCTACAACATGTGGGTTTTAAATGTCGATGACCCAATGGTCTTTTCGTTGATAACTGTATATTACCTACGTATTGTCACAAAAGGTCACGCTAAAGTTTTGCTGCAAACACTTTGAGCGGAGAAAAGAACTATTAGACTGATTGAGTAGATAATTGGATACAAATGGTTTTTGGTATTCATTCCCTCCGATTACTCACGTAAGTTCCCTTAGAGTAACGCATGTGAACGCTGTTATATAGTTGGGTGTTCTGTGTGGATGGGAGTATACTTTAGCATTGAACTGCGTTCAGTTGGCATTCATAGGCAATATGAATGCCAATTGAAAGCAGTTCAATACTTATATTTACCATTGTTGGAATCTGTTCATCTCATAAAAAAATCAATTACACTTATTTTTATTTAGCATTTAGTTTAAATAATGTATGTATCGTGTATGCTTGTTCATTGAATAGAACAGCCATCGCCCAGGGATGGCCGGTAGTATCCAACAAAACAATTATGACGTCGTAATAATGATGACGTCAACAATCGGTCCATGGCATTCATAGCCTATATGAATGCCAACTGAATTTGGTAGGGTTATATAGTGGCAATGCCAATCGATGGTAAATATTGGCCATTGGTATTCAAGTAATTATCAGGTCTCCTATCTAATGTCTAGTAGATGTGGGTTGCTAACAGGGAAAGTCATCTATATTAACGGTTATTAACGCTAATCTCGACCACCTGTACTTTCCTAATACATGGATTGAGTCAGCAGCCTCTAGTTCTGTATATTACGTTAACCTCCAAGACTTGTGTGATTCATGTAACTGTTCAGTATTAAGGTAACAAGTCTCACTGCATTAGTTATAATCACAGAGAAGAGTTCCACTCAGAGTAACTTTTACTTGGAGTGCTCTCCCTTTTATATAGAAGATGAGGCAACCAAAAGAGAGATTTTCTGGCTTAGAGTTATTTCCCCTGCCATATTATGTATTGTTCAATGCTCTTTGTTTTATACTGTCTAAAAAGGGTTGAAATCTATGTTTGCCTTTGTATGAATAGAAAGGAAATATTTCAAACATTAAGAGGAATTCAAATAAAATGTTTATGTCTGTATACAGTAGAAACGTGATGTGAATTGAATTTGCTACATTAAAATTAAATGTCAGTTAATCAAATCCGTTTTGTTGATATAGATTGATTTAAGTTCACTTTGCCAGATGCATTTTGACTATTTTGACTACATCTCCAAAAATTCAATGATATACAAAATTGTTTTGCTGACATCATTTGTCAAGCAAAAATTGGCATTGTAAAGGGATTGCTGGCAATATACATTGTATTGGGGCATTTATTGTAGAGGAATTGTTAAGAAAATAAGGAAAAGTTATCCTTAGATGTTAGCAGTAGCTGAGTTAGCAGAAAAAGAGGCAATACAAAAACCAATGTAAAATTGTCTGTTCTGTAACTCCCCGGAATACTAACCGTGGTACATAAAAATGTCACTACACACCTTAAGTAGCACTATTTGCTCTGATTTAAGTTTTATCTGTGTCATTGTCTGTGTATTGTACCGTTTCAACATTTGAGGACTTTGTATTTTCCCATTGTCCTTTCCTCCGTTTTGACTAAACAAATTATATGTACCAAGAAAGCATATGAATTACATTTGAACTCGGGGTAAGTGAGGTCGAAGACAGTGCTAAGTGTACTAGTATTGTTATGTGTCGGTGTACTTTTTGTTGATGCTATTGTGAGGAAGGTGTGGGTATGTTTTGTGAGGCGTTACAATTCTAGTGTTCCTGGCTTTGTGTTGAGGGATCTGACTGAGTCAACAAGGTGTACGTAACATCCTACACACTGCTGATAGCTGTGTAGGAAAGCTTGTACCTAAAACAAGCAGTCACCCATTGTCATCAACAACAGGTAGTATTATGGAAATCTCTGTCCAATCAACTGTACCAGTTACATCTATAACAGGTGTCTGCTACACTCAGTTGTGACAGATTGTCCCTAAAACCACACGTCCCTGATTTCATGCGCAATACCATACGTCCCTGATTTCATCTTCAATATAATCAGGCCCTGATTTCATCCACAATACCATACAACCCTGATTTCATCAATAAATACCTTACGACCCTGATTTCATCTATAATACCAACAGGCCCTGATTTCATCCTAAATACCATATGTTCCTGATTTCATCTGTTATACCAATAGGCCCAGATTTTATCTGTAATACCAACAGGCCCTGATTTCATCTATAATACCCTATGTCCCTGATTTCATCTGTTATACCATACAACTCTGATTCCATCTGTAATACAACATTCATCTATAAAACCAACTGGCCCTGATTTCATCTGTAATACCATACAACCCTGATTCCATCTGTAATACCAACAGGCCCTGATTTCATCTATAATACCCTAAATCCCTGATTTCATCTGTAATACCATTAGGCCCTGATTTCTTCCATAATACCCTATGTCCCTGATTTCATCTGTAATACCAACAGGCCCTGATTTCATCCATAATACCCTATGTCCCTGATTTCATCTGTTATACCAACAGGCCCTGATTTCATCCGTAATACCATCAACCGAAAGATTCTTTGATGTACATTAAAGGGTCAAACTAGCCTTCTAGTCTCATCCACAAGGTGGCGCACACTGAGCATTCAGTTTTGTCATGACATATTCCAAGGGTGTTGAGAGCCTAGGTGGAATATTGAGAAATTGGGCCTCAGTGAGAAACTATGATTGTAACATCCTTTAATTGATAAAACAGGGGTTATTGATTGACGGTGTAGATTACGTGACGCCATGATTGTTACATATAGTTTATGTCTATGGATTGTTTTGTGTTTGGGGTATTACTGCTAATATATTTCTCTAAGGTCAAAGAATAATGTTATCTCCTTGCTGTGACTGATAAAAATTGACAACCCATCCAGGTGCAGCCAAGAGCTCATCAACTTTGCTAGAAAATGTTATACACCTTTTATGGTGTTGTAGTAGAATAACTAGTGTTCACGATGGATTTTTATTGTGGCGTGAAGTTATTCATCACGCTGCATTGTTATTTCCATCAAAATTTCTGAATCCTTTTTGTTATTGATATGAATGTTTCTCGTCATTGTATAGAAAATTCTAATTAAACAGTGTTTAATCTTAGATAATTAAAATGGCATCATTTTCCGAGCTTCAGAAAAGTACCCTTGATATTTGTTTGATTCAAAAATATTTTTTAGGTTACTTAAAGCACTTTGAGTTTGAAGAAATCAAAGGTTCACTGTTTCATGAATTAATCGAGGAATTTTTTTATTTTTTATAACGCTGTTCACAGTCAATAGTGCACGTTAACTCTATCTGAATGGGAGAGAGTTTGCAAGGTTTGAATTTCCGATGTCTTTAGGCTGCATATTAATAAACAATTTAAAAGCTATAACCCCAGCAAAATACAAGCTTATGATTATAAATACAGTGAGAAACTGGTCTTCTCATTTGTGAAAGCATGTGATCTTAATTTTCCCGACTTCTTAAATTGTTTTATAAACAGGTTGTGTATCTGATAACAAGGAACTCTGATAGATCATTTCTATATACAAACGGAAGTTAAAGGGAGGTTAATGTATATAGGAAAAACCTCAGTGCAGTGGAACAGGGATCCATAAGTGCATTCTATGATAAAACAAGGCTGATGACAGGTATGGTTATCCTTCGATCAATCTGTCACTGCCTTTCGTGATGGCAAATGATCACTGCAGTCACAGACGCCATAACAAGGATTTCTGTCGGGTCAAGATCAAAATGACGTGTACATGTTAGGGCTAATGGCTCATATCACTGTTTTATCGTTCAATGGATTGAGCTTCCTGCTTTTAAAATCTAACAAGTTGAGGTAATCATCTCTTGAATTGATACAACATTACGTTCATACATATTTACAGGAAGCTTTAAAAGCCTTCTTTGTGCTCTACAGAACTATTCCTTTGAAATTAAAGCTATATCATGAATTTGTTTAAGCTCAAAAGGCCAAGCAAGCTTAAAGGGTGGCACAGCATATCTGTCGTCCATTTTCTGTTAAAAGAGTGCTAGTCAGAATGACTAAAGAGATTTAGTCTACAGTAATTTGGCACGGAGCATTCCAGGGCCAAGGGAATCTGTTATAGTAAGGATGTGCTCTTCCCTCCAAAGAAAAAACTGAGGAAAAATCAGAAAAGACTAAGGTTATTAAAAGACTATCAGTATACCCTAGGAAAAATAAGGGGCTTTAGAGGTCTTAAACGACTACTTCTTTTATCAGTGGTAGAATTTTGACCTTACTTAGCACTGAGCATCTGTGGATGAAAGGGATTCAATATTACATATAAATATGAAGGGTATTGCTGTTGTTTAGAGCAGAAGGGCAGGCCCAGTAGAGGAGGATTTTAGGGCAAAATCAGTTTGGCTTTTCTAGTTCTAAGCCAATTGTATCCTCTATTTAGAGAGTTATTAAACCAGATTTAGTGTTAGGATATGGATTGTTCACAATACAAAGCCTGAGCATTATTTAGGCGACTTTGAAATCCAAGATGGCCACCTTGGCCTCTGATTTGCTGAGATATTTTTTTATAATTCTTCAGAATTGAATCAGCAATTGGTCCTCTAATGACTCTGACCAAGTGTTGTTAATTTCTGACCGATTCACATCTAATATATGGCCATATGGCTTCTGCATGACCGACACATACCCGATCAACTTCTTTTCAATTTCCACTAGGCCAATGGAAACCAAATAAAACTGGTGACTGTTGATATTGCAGTCGACTGTGTAAATGTGTGACAATGATACAAGCTATGTGTGTCGGAACCATTGATAAATCCGTTTTTTTTATTTGTAGGAAGTGAGCTATGAATTAATCAGATTTTTACTATCCCGCAGTGACCTTATTGTTATT